TTCAAGTGACTGGGGGGGTGGGTGGCCAAGGAGAAAAGTCTGGCCAGGTAGACAGAAGTATGGAGGATGGGAGCTTGCAGGACACAACAGAATTCAAGAGAATGGAGAGGCCGGGCGCAGTGTCTCATGTCTGTAATCCTAGCACTTTGGGAGGCCAAGGTGGGTGGATCACATGAGGTCAAGAGTTCGCGACCAGACTGCCCAACATGGCAAAACCCCGTTTATACTAAAAATATAAAAATTAGCCTGGCATCCTGGTGCATGCCTGTAATCCCAGCTACTCAGGAGTCTGAAGCAGGAGAACCGCTTGAACCCAGGAGGCGAAGGCTGCAGTGAGCCGAGATTGTACCATTGCACTCCAGCCTGGGCAACAGAGTGAGACTCCGTCTCCAAAAAAAAAAAAGAGAACTGGAGAGAAGATGGAAGAGGAGAGGAGAAACAGGAGCAACGAGAAGGAAGAGGTTGCAGGGGAGCCAGGGTAGGGAGATCTCAAGTTCCCCAAAGAAGCCAGTAAAGTCCCACATTAACCTCAGCAAAATAATGCCAACAATAGGGAGGTGACAGAGTTGGTTGAACACACAGTCAGCAGGGCTTCAGGAAGGGAGTTTCAGGCGATGGAGACATTCCCGTGGGAGTTGCAGGATCAGATCGGCAGAACAGAGAAGACTTAAAAGTTACACCTATGAGGGTCTGAATATTGGCTTCTGATCAGGCCAACTTCTAGGCATAGAGCTCCTTTAAAAAAATCCTTTCAAATGTCTTATTTTCAAATTCTTCTGGGACAAACACTAAGTATTCCTGGCAATATTGAATTTTTATTTGAATAATTTTTTTCCTTTTTCTTTTACAGAAAATGTATACTTAGCAAATGATTAAAGACCGAAGCGGTAAGCCTCTTAGGACTTAAAACCAATGAGCCTTTTATGGCTTAACCACAGACAGGAGATGCCTCTCCAAACAGGGTGCAAAGATACAACCCTTCCCATAGACAGCCAAGGGAAGAAAGTCTTAGATAACACCCCAAGAGCTGGCAATGGTTGGTAGGACATGAGAAAAAGAAAAATCATTTCATCTGGCCAGATGTTGTGGCCCACACTTGTAACCCCAGCACTTTGGGAGGCCAAGGCAGGTGGGTCATTTGAGCTCAGGAATTTGAGACCAGCCTGGGCAACATGGTGAGACCCCGCCTCTACAAAAAATACATATATTAGCTGGATGTGATGGTGTACACCTGTAGTCCCTACTACTCAGGAGGCTGAAGTGGGAGGATTGCTTAAGCCTGGGGAGGTCGAGGCTGCAGTGAACCCTGATCACACCACTACACTATAGCCTGGGTGACAGCGAGACCCCATTCACCTCCGCTTCCAAGAAACACACTTCATTTAAGGAATGTGAGTCCCTTTAAATTATGAGACCCAGAAAGGCATTTAAAATGTAACAGCAGTCACTTCCCTCTCCCACTTGGGTGAAATAATTACGTCTAGCAGCTACTTGCTATGGGAGCTCTAGACTGTTACCAAGTAGCCATCAAATGCCATATACTCTGTCATTCAACACTGCACAGCCAATCACCAATGTTATTCATAAAAATAACTGAGGTTATTTCTGTAAACCAGCGTGAATTCCTGACAAACAACTTTTGTAATTGCCTCCTCTTCTGATTCATTTTTTTCCTTTAAAAAACTTGAGCCTCTCTTTTGTTGTCTGGAGCAGTCTCCAAGGCAACTTGGAAGTGTGTCCTGGGCCGCAGGCTTCAACTCCGTATGAAGACCTCTCTTTGAACTAGATTCTGACCGTTTTGATAATTTTAGGTTGACAGACACTGGTCACAGATGGGATGCAGCCCCCACTTCTCTTTCTGTCTGGTCCTATTCCGGGGTGTCCCCGGTATGGCAGTTGGCTGGCTATATTCTGGGGTGTCCCCGACCTGGCGGTTGGTGGCCTACACTGGCAGCCTGGACAATCTGGGCACCCCAGCAGTCAGAAAGCCACGGGACATTTTTAGGACACAAAAGAAGACAGGAAAGCAATAGCTGTTCCTAGGAGTGAAAGGATTAATAACCAATGGTTACACCAAACAGTATTTCACCATAGTCACAGTATAAAAAAATTAATTCTTAACAAATGATTTCTCCTGCTAATGTGAATTTGAGATAGAAGGGACAAAAGAGAAACCTGTACCTTCCTCTCCTGGCTGGCACTACACACAGAGATCCAGGAGTGCTGACTGCCATGTTCTTTCTTTTTTTTTTTGAGACAGGGTCTCATGCTCATTGTCCAGGCTGGAGTGTAGTGGTATCGTAATCACGACTCACTGCAGCCTCAATTCCCCAGGTTCAAGAGATCCCCCTGCCTCAGCTTCCCAAGTAGCTGGGACTACAAGTGCACACCACCATGCCCGGCTAACTTTTTGTATTTTTAGTAGAGATGGGGTCTTGCCATTTTGGCCAGGCTGGTCTCAAACTCCTGGGCTCAAGTGATCCACCGGTCTTGGTCTCCCAAAGTGCTGGGATTATGGGGGTGAGCCACTACGACTGGTATAGGGACAGAGAAACTCTTACAAATGGAGATGGGTTTTTTTGTTTGTTTTTTGAGTTGGAGTTTCACTCCTCTTACCCAGGCAGGAGTGCAATGGCTTAATCTTGGCTCACTGCAACCTCTGCCTCCTGAGTTCAAGCAATTCTCCTGCCTCAGCCTCCAGAGTAGCTGGGATTACAGGTGCCTGCCACTATGCCCGACCAATTTTTGTATTTTTAGTAGAGACGCTATTTCACCATGTTGGCCAGGCTGGTTTCAAACTCCTCACCTCAGGAGATCCACCCGCGTTGGCCTCCCAAAACACTGGGATTACAGGTGTGAGCCAACATGCCCAGGAGGGTTTTTTTGGTGTTTAAGTATATATGTAGAATTATGTTTTATTTTTTAATTAATTAGAGATGGCTTGCTGTGTTGCCCAGGCTGGTCTCAAACTCCTGATTTCAAGTGATCCTCCTACCTCAGCCTCCCCAGTAGCTGGGACTACAGGCGTGACACCAAACCCAGCTAATATTTTGATTTTTTTTTTTTTAGAGATGGGGTCTCCCTATATTGCCCAGGCTGGTCTCAGACTCTTAGGCTCAAGCGATCCTCCTGCTTGGGCTTCCCAATGTGCTGGGATTATAGGCATGAGTCACTGTGCCTGGCAAGAGATGTTTTTTGTTGTTGCTGAGACTATCAAAAAACAGCAGAGAGATGGTTTTTATAGATGTAAATTTCCCTTACAAAAGGGTAGCTTTTTAAATATTTAATTTTTTTTTTTTTTTTGAGTTGGAGTCTCACTCTGTCACCCAGGCTGGAGTGCAGTGGCACGATCTTGGCTCACTGCAACCTCCATCTCCTGGGTTCAAGTGATTCTGCTGCCTCAATCTCCCAAGCAGCTGGGACCACAGGTGCCTGCCACCATGCCCGGGTAATTTTTGTATATTTTTTTAGTAGAGACGGGGTTTTATCACGTTGGCCAGGCTGGTCTCAAACTCCTGACCTTGTGATCCACCCGCTCTGGCCTCCCAAAGTGCTGGGATTACAGGCTTGAGCCAACATGCCCGGATTAAATATTTAATTTAATTTAATTTAATTTATTTTTTTTTTTTTTGAGGCAAGTCTTGCTCTGTCACTCAAGCTGGAGGGCAGTGGCGTGATCTCACCTCATTGCAGCCTCTGCCTCCCTGGTTCAAGCGATTCTCCTGTCTCAGCCTTCCGAGTAGCTGGAACTCTATTTGGGCAGTCACACCACCATGCCTGGCTAATTTTTGTATTTTTAGTGGAGATGGGGTTTCACCATATTGGTCAGGCTGGTCTTGAACTCCTGACCTCAAGTGATCCACCTGCCTCAGCCTCCCAAAGTGCTGGAATTACAGGTGTGAGCCACCATGGCTGGCCTTAAACGTTTTTTTTTTTTTTTTTTTTTGAGATGGAGTTTCACTCTTGTGGCCCAGGCTGGGGTGCAATGGTGTGATCTCTGTTCACTGCAACCTCCACCTCCCGGGTTCAAGCAATTCTCCTGCCTCAGCCTCCCAGGTAGCTGGGATTACAGGTGCCTGCCACCACACCCAGCTAATTTTTATATTTTTAGTAGAGATGGGGTTTCACCATGTTGATCAGGCTGGTCTTGAACTCCTGACCTCAGATGATCCACCCCACCTCAGCTTCCCAAAGTGCTGGGATTACAGGTGTGAGCCATGGCACCCAGCCATTTTATTTTCTAAGTAAAGACAGGTTCTTATTATGTTGCCCATGCTGGTTGTGAACTCCTAGACTCAAGTGATCCTCTTGCTTCAGCCTCCCAGATAGATGGGACTACAGGTGGGCACCACCACGCTCAGGCAAAAGGGTCACTTTTCCCGGCTTTCAGGGCTGCTTCTTCTATTCCTATTTCTCAGAATAATCCGTACGCCAAAGAGGCCTGTTTTGGGTAGCATATTCTGGTCTCCTACAGTGATCCGGCCTTCTGAATGTCACCGGCTGACTCCTGCAGAAAGGAGAAGTTGGGACAGGCAGGTAGGAGGGACAGGCACACTGCCAAGGGGAGGTGCAGAGAGAGGCCTGAGCCCATGTGGGCCTGGGGTCTGGCGGCTGAACTGCAACATAGCCCAAGATTTTGGTTAAAGTTCCCATCTCCGCTGCTTGGTGGCCCTTTCCACCTTCCTCCCTCCAAACCAGCTTTTTTTCTTCTGTTCTCTCTTTCCCATTCTTGGCCCAGGCTCTGCAGTCTCAGCGATTAGTGGTCCTTTCCTGCTACAGCCCAGCCAGCCTCATGTTATTCTGGGGCCACTGACCCCAGATTCACCAAGCTGGCTCAGTCGTTTGGTCATCTCTGACCTCTGACTCCTCAGGCATGAGAAATCAAGCCCAACCCAGCAGTCTGCCCACACCTTAGAAGTTTTCTAGAATGAAATTAGAAATTATTATGTCAAAAACCTCAATAACTTTTGCACCAACCTAATGAAGTAAAATTGGCCTTTATCGTGACCTGGCAGGGGGGATGCCACGATCACAAAGGTGGTTGTCCCAGAGTGAGGTTTATCCATTGCACCTCAGATGTGCTGACCCCGTCACCTCCCCAAATGTGGAATCTTTGTTTTTCTGTTTTTTCGTTTTTTGAGACAGAGTGATGGAGTCTTGCTCTGTCACCCAGGCTCGGGTGCAGTGGCACGATCTTGGCTTACTATAGACTCTGTCTCCCAGGTTCAAGCGATACACGTGCCTCAGCCTCTCGATTAGCTGGGATTACAGCGCCCACCACCATGCCCAGCTAATTTTTGTATTTTTAGTAGAGACAAGGTTTTGCCATGTTGTTCAGGCTGGTCTCAAACTCCTGGGCTCAAGCAGTCCACTTGCCTCGGCCTCCCAAAGTGCTGGGATTACAGGTGTGAGCCACGGTGCCCGGCCCCAATGTGGAATCTTGACCCTGTATTTGGTGGTAGTGGAGGATGACCTTCATGCTAAAAAAACAAACAGAATTGGGCCAAGCAGGGTGGCTCCCATCTGAAATCCCAGCACTTAGGGAGGTCAAGGCAGGAGGACTGCTTGAGCCCAGGAGTTCCAGATCAGTGTGGGCAACATAGTAAAACTCTGTCTTTTAAAAAGTAGAGAAAATTAGCTGGGAATGGTGGCACACACCTGTGATCCTAGCTACTGGGGAGGCTGAGATGGGAGCATCACTTGAGCCCAGGAGTTTAAGACTGCATGAGCTATGATCATGCCACTGCACTTGAACCTGGGTAACAGAGTAGGACCTAGACTCTAAAATGAAGGCAAAGGCTGTTAAGAATTTAGCAAAAGTAAAAGGTCAGAGGCAGAGGTAACTAAGAAACATATACCCTCCCTCACCCACCACCTCTGACACCAAGGTCCTGGGGAGAGGGGAAAGGTGAAAGAACAGGGCCTCCAACTGCAAGGGGAGTGGGGAGGTTCTGAAACTTCGAGCCCATTTCATTTTATTTATTTATTTTATTTTATTTTTTGAGATGGAGTTTTGCTCTTGTTGCCCAGGCTGGAATGCAATGGCCCAATCTCAGCTCACCACAACCTCCACTCCTGGGTTCAAGTGATTCTCCTGTCTCTGCCTCCCAAGTAGCTGGGATTACAGGCATGTGCCACCATGCCCAGCTAATTTTTAGTAGAGACAGCGTTTCTCCATGTTGGTCAGGCTGATCTTGAACTCCTGACCTCAGGTGATCCGCCCACCTCGGCCTCCCAAAGTGCTGGGATTATAGTCATGAGCCACCACGCCCAGCCTTCATTTTTATTTTTTGAGACAGTGTCCTGCACTGTTGCCCAGGCAAGAGTGTAGTGGCACGATCTCAGCTCACTGCAACCTCTGCCTCCCAGGTTCAAGTAACTCTCCTGCCTCAGCCTCCTGAGTAGCTGGGATTACAGGTGTCTGCCACTACACCTGGCTAAGTTTTTGTATTTTTTTAAGTAGAGATGGGGTTTCACCATGTTGGCCAGGCTAGTCTTGAACTCCTGACCTCAGGTGATCTGCCCATCTCAGCCTCCCAAAGTGCTGGGATTATAGGCATGAGCCACCACGCCCAGTCATATCCCATTTCACTTCAATCACAGAACAAGAATATCAGCCAACTTCTGGGTTACAGCATTAAAAAAAAAAAACTACATTAATAACTAATATGCAAAGAGGGCTTCTTTGCATCAGGCTCTGCACTTTTATGTATATTATCTCACTAATACCATATCACCATGAGGAGTGGGTTTTATTCACCCCCACTTCATGGAAGAGAAAACTGAGGCTCAGAAAGGGTCAATAAACTGCCTGAGTTCACAAAACCAAGAAAAGACAGAGCCAGGATTGGAACTCACATCTCTCAAGCTCCAAGACCGTGCCTAGTCCAACGCTAAAGGGTGCTGTTTGACTCTTTGCATTGGCCAGTCTTTGTATTGACCGTTTCTCTCATTCATTCGGTAAAATTTTTATTGAGTACCTATGATGTACTAGGTGCCAGAGATGCAGTGGTGAACAATATCCTTGATCCCATGGGTCAGAAGTAAGAGCTCAGAACCAAAGTAAGCCGAAAAGCATACCTGCTGGGTTCTTAGACATCTACACTGTCCCATATCCTTGGTCTCCGCCACCACGGCCTAAGGTGGCAGCGGCCCTTTCATGACTTCTTCCTCTTTAGTTTGAATTTACTGGAATAAAAATGTGTGTAAAAGTAAAGGGAGCTCGCAAAATGATTTCCTCCTCGAAGGTCTCCTTCCTCCAGGGAGGGTGACTCAGAGCCTCAAATCCTTGCCTTTCCGTGTTTCGGCCTAAGTTTGAGGCACAACGGCCTGGCTGGCCCTGCTCCTCTCAGTTTCCCGATTGGCCTAGGTCCAGTCACAGAGACAGCACTGGTCAATTTCCTTTCCTTCCTCTTCTGCAGCCAGCTCTGCCTGGAACCCGAAGGGTCTGGGCCAAGGTTTGTTCTCACCCTCGTCTCTACCAGCCCACCCTCATCTCCCACCAGAGTCCCCAGAACAAAAGCAGACTTCTTCACTTCCTCCAACTAAACTAGTTTCTCCAACTTTTCTGGCAGAGGAGTTTTTGTTTACTGAAGGAGCAAGTCCTGACCTGCAGAGTCCTTTCTCTGCAGGACTGGGATAAAACAAAATCAGATGCGTTATGAAAGAGTTGCTGAAACGGCTGGACCAGAGCTGGCTGTGGGGGCTGGGGCGCTGGAGAAATCCTCCCCGTCCTCCGTGGTCTGCCTTACCGCCTCTTAACTTTCAATCTGTCTTTTCCTTCTATGATTCAGCTCCAGGTTGCACAGAAAGCAATTCTTTCCCCACTTGGAAGAGCTCAGCACTGCTTTGCTTGGCTGCCATCAGGTGAGAGAGCAGAGTTTAATCAATGGGTGACATAAAAGACTAAGAAGACAGTTGTCTTCGACTTACTCAAGATTTCATTTTAAATTTAACAGTGCTCAGAAACCTTATCCTTATCACTAGCACTGTCAGAAGCATTTGAACCAGAGTAACTCCATCCTGAATAGGAGCTGGGTAGAATGAGGTTGAGACTCCCAGATGGTTAAGGCTTTCTAAGTGACAGGATGAGATAGGAGGTCAGCACAAGATACAGGTCATAAAGACCTTGAGGATGAAACAGGTTGCAGTAAAGAAGCAGGCTCTAACCCACCAAAACCAAGATGGCCACGAGAGTGACCTCTGGTCGTTCTCACTGCTACACTCCCACCAGCGCCATGACAGTTTACAGATGCCACGGCAATGTCAGGACGTGACCCTATATGGTCCAAAAAAGGGAGGCATCGATTATCCACTTCTTGTTTAGCATATCATCAATAAATAAATGTAAAAATGGGCAACCAGCAGCCCTTTGGGAGCTGCTCTGTCTATGAAGTAACCATTCTGTTACTTCTTGACTTTCTTAATAAACTTGCTTTTACTTTACAGACTCGCCCTGAATTCTTTCTTGTGTGAGATCTAAGAACCCTCTCTTGGGGTCTGGATTGGGACCCCTTTCCTATAACAGTATTGTTTGCCTAGTCCTTGTCTGTCCTTACTTGATGGCTCTCTGTGGGTTTTAAAAACCCAGTGAGATTCTAAGTGCCTCTGATGAGATCTCATGCCATTGCTTGGATCCCCTGGGTCAGTAACGCCCTGGGCTGAGCCAGGCACTCTGGCTGGCCAGTATTTCTTGATTTCCCTATACCACAGCTAAATAGCACCCTCAGCCTCAAAGCAGGAAGAAAGAGACATTTTTCTGCTGCATCTGAAAATATCTTTTGGAAACAGTCTGCTCATGTCTTCTGAGCAGGACAGAGACCAGATGCAGATGGAGATATCTAAACATGTCTTATCTGGATAGAAAATAGAGCTTAAGATAATAAATATCTTGGAATTTGATAAAACCCAGAGGCCCCTTCCTGGGACATGATTAATTGAAGAAAAAAAAAGCCTGGTAATACGTGACCTTATCAGAAAGATTTATGTTCAGTTGAAAGCCAAGTTATTTTGAGCTGAGCAAAATGAGGATTTAAATTAAAGGAGTGCAGAGTAAACATTTGGCATAGTAGCGGATGTCTCGGCAAGTTTCTCAGGGGTAGTGTTTTTCAGAGATGACAGGATTAAAGAGAAACCTTTTATAACATCATACAGGAAACAGACTGTCCACAGTGCCCAGCACATATAGGTGTTCAATAATGTATATAAATTTTGAGAATGAGTTTCGCTCCTGTCGCCCAGGCAATGGAGTGCAATGACATGATCTCGGCTCACTGCAACCTCCGCCTCTTGGGTTCAAGTGATTCTCCTGCCTCAGCCTCCTGAGTAGCTGGGACTACAGGTGCATGCTACCACACCCAGCTAATTTTTGTATTTTTAGTAGAGACAGGGTTTTACCATGTTGGCCAGGCTGGTCTCAAACTCCTAACCTCAAGTGATCTGCCCACCTTGAGATCTTGAAGGCAAGCCGAATAGCCCCACCAAAGTGCTGGGATTACAGGCATGAGCCACTGCACCTGGCCAATAAATGTTTTATTTAAACAAAATTTACGCCGGGCGCGGTGGCTCAAGCCTGTAATCCCAGCACTTTGGGAGGCGGAGGCGGGTGGATCACGAGGTCAAGAGATCGAGACCATCCTGGTCAACATGGTGAAACCCCGTCTCTACTAAAACTACAAAAAATTAGCTGGGCATGGTGGTGCGTGCCTGTAGTCCCAGCTACTCAGGAGGCTGAGGCAGAAGAATTGCCTGAACCTGGGAGGTGGAGGTTGCGGTGAGCCGAGATCACACCATTGCACTCCAGCCTGGGTAACAAGAGCGAAACTCCATCTCAAAAAAAAAAAAAAAATTTACTTAGTAAGCAAACACTTATATTGCACTTAGAGGGTGCCAGCACTATTCTACGTGCGTTACAACTATTTACTCATGTTCCTTTTGCTTCCAGCCTTGAGGCTGAGCGTGCCATTTAGCTGGGAGTAATCAAGAAATACCAGGCCAGGCATGAAGGCTCACACCTATAATCCCAGGTCTTTGGGTGGCCAAGGTGGGAGGATTGCTTTGATGTCAGGAGTTCAAGCCAAGTCTGAGTAACATAGCAAGACCCATCTCAACAAAATAAAATTTAAAAATTAGCTGGTCATGGTGGCACATGCCTGTACTCCCAGCTACTGGGGAGACCGAGGTGGGCCGACCCGTGGAACCCAGGAGGTCAAGGCTGCAGTGAGCTGTGATCCCGCCACTACACCCCAAAGTGGGTGATAGAGGGAGACCCTGTTAAGAAAGAAAAAAGAAAGGAAAGAAAGGAAAAAAGAAAAAGAAAGAGAGAAGGAAGGAAGGAGGGAAGGAGGGAAGGAAGGAAGGCCGGAAGGAAGAAAGGCAGGAAGGCAGGCAGGCAGGCAGACAGGAAGGCAAGCCGAATAGCCAGCACACCTAGCGCAGCCTGGGGAACCACTGACCCCTATGTTTGGGTTGAGATCTGTCCCTAAGAGTTAACTTCAACCCCAGGGCTGGCCAGTACTGCTGCATACCTCATTTTTTTTTTTTTTTGGCCCAGAGAGCAAGTTTTATTTGGTGAATGCTGTCGGCAAACATCATCCAAGAGAGACAAGATGGGAAAGGTGCTGAGACAAGACAGCCTAGGGAGCCTTCGGGCTAGATACAAAATTCACACAGGGAAAGGCACAGACTCTGGGGAGACTGGGAAGGTCCTCAGCCATTCAGTACCATGCAGATGAGTTCTTCGTAGTTGATACAACCATTGCTGTCCTCGTGCCCTGCCACCAGCATCTCTACTTCTTCCACTGTCATCTTCTCACCCAGTGTGACAAGAACATGCCGGATTTCAGCACCCATGATGGTGCCATTTCCTTCCTTGGCAAAAACCCGAAGTCCTTCGACATAATCCTCATAGGTGGCCTGGTCCTTGTTCTTGGCCACTGTCTGCAGCATGGGCAGAAAGTGCTCAAAGTCCAGCACCTTCACATTCATCTCATCACTTTCGGGGTTCCCCAGGACCTTGAGCATCTCGGCGTTGGTGGGGTTCTGGCCCAGGGCCCTCATCACGTCCCCACACTGGCTGTACAGGATCTTGCCATCACCTGTTCAGTCAAACAGCTGGAAGGCCTCCTTGAACTCTGCGGTCTGGTCTTCAGTGAAGTCACACATCTTTTTCCTGCAGTAATGGCCTATCAATACCTCATTTGTCCCTCACAACAGCTCTGGGGCCGCCTCCTTTCTGTGACTTGGGACCCTGCCATCCTCCTGCTATTACACTGAAGCAGATGAAACTGCTGATCTTTCTCATTGATGTTTTGGCTGTTTTCAATTTCAAAAAAAATGACAATTAAATGCAATTCAACCTAATATTGCCTACATTTTAAAAGAGGAAATAGATGCTCAGAGTGGTTAAGTAACCTGCCCCGATGCCTCAGAGGTAGCCAACAGCAGTATCTGGATTCAAAATCTAGTTTGCTTCCTCTGAACTTCTTTTTTTTTTTTTTTTTGAGACGGAGTTTCACTCTTGTTACCCAGGCTGGAGTGCAATGGCGCGATCTCGGCTCACCGCAACCTCCGCCTCCTGGGTTCAGGCAATTCTCCTGCCTCAGCCTCCTGAGTAGCTGGGATTACAGGCACACGCCACCATGCCCAGCTAATTTTTTGTATTTTTAGTAGAGACAGGGTTTCACCATGTTGACCAGGATGGTCTCGATCTCTTGACCTCGTGATCCACCTGCCTCTGCCTCCCAAAGTGCTGGGATTACAGGCTTGAGCCACCGCGCCCGGCCTCCTCTGAACTTCTTAACATGCCACTTTTAACCACGGATTAAGAACCTGGGAACCAGTTGCTAGGGTTTGAGTTTCAGCTCCTCTACCTAGCAGCCCTATGATTTTACCGTAAAGGGTTTTCCTCTCTGTGCCTCGGTTTTCTCACTGGCAAAATGGAAATAATAATAACGCAGACCAGGCGCAGAGGCTCACGCCTGTAATCCCAACACTTTGGGAGGCACGGGTGGGTGGAGCCCTTAAGTCCAGGAGTTCGAGACCAGCCTGGGCAACACAATGAGTGAGACCCCACCAGGTATAGCAGCCGTGCACCTGTAGTCCCAGCTACTCAGGAGAATAACTTGAGCCCAGGAGTTGGAGGCTGCAGTGAGCTGTGATCACACCACTGCACTCCAGCCTGGGTGACTGAGCAAGACCCTGTCTCAATAATAATAATAATAATTAATAATAATGATGATGCAGTATTGTCCAATGTATAGGGTTCCCCAGAGGATTGAATAAGGAAATCTAAGTACAGAGATTTAGAACAGCGCCCTGCACTGTGAAAGCACTCTATAGATGTGAGTTACTATTACCATCTTCAGGTTCCTTTGGTACTTTTTTCCTGCTTGAATAAAATATAGTAACACGCACACACACCCCTCCTTTGTCCACTAATGTAATCCCATAAAACGGAGAAACTCAGTAGTGAGGGCATTCTGACTCCAAGCAGGAAAGAGATGAACGATGAAGCTCAGGCGCTGAGCTGAGCGCCTCGCGGTTTCCCCGCGTCACCGGGGCTGGGGCTGCAGTTTGGCCTCACACTGCTAGGTCTCCTTTTCTTAAGGGCTGGACGGGGGGTGGTTGTGGGGGGGACTGTCACCTCTGAGGAGTCAGCTGTGATTGATCCTTCTCTACACCCGGCCAAGCGACCCCCCAGACAGGGGAGCGCCCGTAAGAGGGCAGGCGGCAATGGCAGCTCTCGCAAACAGTCCCTAAATCATCCCATCCGGGCGCGGGAAATTCCAACGAGGTGGAAGCCTAGGGGGCCGGGTGAGGAAATCCCCAGGCCGGGCCCAGAAACCGCTCCAGGTAGAAGTCACTTGTCCAAATAGAACAGGGCGTAAAGGGGGTCATTTCAGGGCTGTTCTTTTACATAGGTGAACACAGTCTACTTTTCCCTAGAGTTTTGTAGAGGCCACACGCGCCCCCACACCCCGCCCCCGGGGAGTCGCCCGGAGGTCTCGGGGGCCTGCCCCGAGGCGCTTGCAGCATCTGGACCTGGTCCGCCCCGCGCCGCCCCTTTAAGAGCGACCACGGCCCACGTGCTCCGTGACGTCAGAGCAGGAAGTGTTTGAGGAAGTCGCGCCGCCCTGCCGGGGTTAAGATTCCCGCATTTTAATGTTTTTAGGGGGGCGTCAGAGCCCCGGGTTTGGCCGCCCCAGCCCCGCCTCCCCCGCCCTGGGGATCCCGCCCCCTGCCCCGCGTCCCCGCCGACAGGTGAGTCCCCCCGGCGGGCGCGGCCCAGGTGCCACCTGCAGGCCCCGCAGCCCTGCCTGGGCGCGCTCCCCGCCGCCCCGCTCCCAGCAGGCCGGGAAGACCCCTCTGTGCCCCTCGAAAGTTGCAGCTTGCGGACAGGGGAGCGTTTCACTTGTGCGGGATGAAGTTTGGGAAGCCGGGTGAAGCAGCTCTGGCGGGGTGGCTCCTTGGGAGTGGGTGGCTTTGAGAGAAACCCGCGATTTATGGGGATGTTGTAAAGACACACGTGACCGAAGGGACGCTCAGAAGTAGGTTCTGTCCCTGCCACCTCGGGCAGAAGGTGGGCAGGCCCGGGGGCCCTGGTGGAGTCAGTTGCGGATTCCCTCGCTAGGGCAAGGGCGTGGGCATCGCCTCCCTAGGTGGCTTTCTTTCTTGCCTGCTGCCACAGCAACCGGGGTGGGGGAGGGTAAAGGGACAAAAGTTTGCCACAGAGTTTGGACAAACCAAACACATTGTAAATGGTAAAAAGCCAGCGTATTTTTTTTCTCTCCCATTCAAGAGCAGTGGTATCTCTTGCTTTCTCAAGCCCTTTGAGCTCCTTTTTTTTTCCTTAATCCTAACCTTTTGTCCCCCACCCCAAATTGCTTACAGAGTTAGCACGACATCAGAATGAGCTGGTCACCTTCCCTGACAACCCAGACGTGTGGGGCCTGGGAAATGAAAGAGCGCCTTGGGACAGGGGGATTTGGAAATGTCATCCGATGGCACAATCAGGTAGGCCCTCTGTGCAGCCTGGGGAGGGGCGGGGAGCTAGGCTCCCTCCCCATTGCCTCCACTTTCTCTGATCCTAATGGGCCAAGGGCTCACTTTTGGTCTTGGGCATCTTGGGACAGTGAGTAGGGGGACTGGGAAGAGGGCTTCAGAACTTCTGAACTGACACTAGGTTAGTGGTCTCCAAGCTTTATCGACTATGTCATCTAAATAAATAGTAAAAAAAAAAAAAAAAAAAAAAAAAAGTTAAGCTCTTAGTCTGTATTATACATATCTATGGTAACAGTGGAATATCATGTACTAATATATACTGATATTATATGTTATAAAATATACAGAAATAGGAACATTGAAAGGATGAGAGTAAATAGTTTTAAATATTTTAATTGCTTGAGACCAGGAGTTCAAGACCTCCAGCCTGAGTAACATAGCAAGACCTTATCTCTACAAAAAAGTTTTAAAAATTAGGCAGCCATGGTGCATACCTGTAATCCCAGTTGGACGCTGATGTGGGAGGATCGTTTGCCCAGGAGTTTGAGCCGGTAGTGGACTATGATTGTGCCACTGCCCTCTAGCCTGGGCAACAGAGTGAGACCTTGTCTCAAAACAATTTTTTTAAAATTATTTAAAAGGCTGGGCATGGTGGCGCATGCCTGTAATCCCAGCACTTTGGGAGGCTGAGGCTGGTGGATCACTTGAAGTGAGTGAGGAGTTCAGACCAGCCTGGCCAACATGGTGAAACCCCATCTTTACCAAAAATACAAAATTAGCTGGGCATGGTGGCGTGCACCTGTAATTCCCGCTACTCGAAGGTGGAGGCAGGAGAATTGCTTGAAGGAGGCAGAGGTTGCAGTGAGCTGAGATAGTGCCACTGCACTCCAGCCTGGGTGACAGAATGAGACCCTGTCTCAAAAAAAAAATTTTATTTAAAATATTTGCTGACTATGATGTCTTCCCAGTATTACTTGCAATACTGCACAGCACAAAATAAGCAGATCCACATGAAAGTGAGGATTTCATTTAGAATGATAATGAAAATCCATATTTCAAATAATTAAAATTTTTTTCAAATTTTGTAGAGATGGGGGTCTTGCTGTGTTACCCAGGTTGGTCTCGAACTCCCATCGTCAAGCAGTCTTCCCACCTTTTCCTCCAAAAATGTTAGAATTACAGGCCTGAGCCACGGCACCTGGCCTTAGCTGAGATTTTTAAAAAATTTTTTGTAGTGATGGGGGTCTCACAATGTTGTCCAGCTAGTCTAGAACTCCTGTCTTCAAGTGATCTTTTTGCCTTGGCCTCTCAAAGTGCTAGGATTACAGGCATGAGTCGTTGCACCTGGCCTGTTTTTTATTTTTAATTGACACATAATTGTACATATTTATGGGGTACAGTACAATGTGATATTTTGATACATATATAATGTATAATGATCAAGTCGGGGTAATTGGCATATTCATCACTTGAAACATCCTTTCTTTTTGTTGGAAACTGTCAAAATTCTTTCTTCTGGGTATTTTGAAATATACAATTATTCTTTTTTTTTTTTTTTTTTTTTTTTTTTTTGAGACTTGAGTTTTGCCCTGTTGCCCAGGTTGGAATTCAGTAGTGTGATCTCGGCTCACTGCAACTTCTGCCTCTTGAGTTAAAGCAATTCTCTGCATCAGCCTCCTGAGTACCTGGGATTACACCATGCCCAGCTAATTTTTGTATTTTTAGTAGAGACAGGGTTTTCACCATGTTGGCCAGGCTGGTCTCAAACTCCTGACCTCAGGTAATCTGCCCACCTTGGCCGCCCAAAGTGCTGGGATTACAGGCATGAGCCACTGCGCCTGGCCTGAAATACAGAATGAATTTTTATTCACTGCAGTCACCCTGTTGTTCTGTAGAATACTAGAATTTATTCCACCTAACTGTAATTTTGTACCCATTAACTAGTCCCTCCCTATTCCCCCTCTGGCCCCTATCCTCCACCCCTTCCTGCCTCTGGTCACCACTATTCTACTTTCTACTTCTATGAGATCAGGTTTTTTTGTTTGTCTGTTTGAGACGGAGTTTTGCTCTTGTTGCCCAGGCTGGAGTCCAATGGCGCAATCTCGGCTCACTGCAACCTTTGCCTCCCAGGTTCAAGCGATTCTCCTGCCTCAGCCTCCCTAGTATCTGGGATTGCAGGTGTGTGCCACCACACCCAGCTAAGTTTTGTATTTTTAGTAGAGACAGGGTTTCACTACATTGGCCAGGCTGGTCTTGAACTCCTGACCTTAGGTGATCCACCTGCCTCAGCTTCTGAAAGTGCTGGGATTACAGGCGTGAGCCATCACGCCTGGGTGAGATCAGTTTTTTTTTTTTTTTTGAGATAGAGTCTTGCTCTGTCACCCAGGCTGTAGTGCAGTATCATGATCTCAACTGACTGCAACCTTTGTCTCCTGGGTTCAAGCGATTCTCCTGCTTCAGCCTCCTGAGTAGCTGGGATTACAGCCATGCGCCACCACGCCCGGCTAACTTTTGTATTTTTAGTAGAGACAGGGTTTCACCATGTTGGCCAGGCTGGTCTCGAACTCCTGACTTCAGGTGATCCGCCTACCTTGGCTTCCCATAGTGCTGGGATTACGGCATGAGCCACCATGCCTAGCCTTTTTTTTGTTTGTTTGTTAAATTTTTAATTTCTTTTGAAATAGGGTCTCAATCTATCATCCAGGCTGAGTACAGTAGTGACATCATGGCTCACTGCAGCCTTGACCTTCTGGGCTCAAGTGATCCTTCTGCCTCAGCCTCCTGAGTAGCTGGGACTACAGGTGTATGTCACTATGCCTGGCTAATTTTTGAAATTTTGTAGGTATTAGGTCTTTCTGTTGCCCAAGCTGGTCTCGAACTCCTGGACACAAGGGATCCTCCCATTTCAGCGTCTGAAAGCACTGGGATTACAGGCGTCGGCCAACCGACTTTACCCAACTGAGATCAGTTTTTTTCAGCTCCCACAGATGGGTGAGAACATGTGGTATTTATCTCTGTGGGCCTGGCTTATTTCCCTTAATGTAATGCCCTCCAGGCTCATCCATGTTGCCACAAATGACAGGATTTCATTCTTTCTTATCGCTGAATAAGAGTCCATTGTGTCGGTGTACCACATTTTCGTTTTCATTTGTTCATTGATGGACATTTAGGTTGATTCCATATCTTGGCTATTTTGAACAGTGCTGCAGTAAACATGAGGGTGCCAATAAACATGAGGTGCCAATAAATCAGGTAAAGTGGTTTCCTTTCCTTTGGATAGATACCCAGTAATGGGATTGCTGGATCATATCATAGTTCTATTTATAGTTTTTCTTTTTTTCTTTTTTTTGAGACAGTCTCACTCTGTTGCCCAGGCTGGAGTGCAGTGGTGTGATCTCAGTCTACCACAGCCTCCTCCTTCCATGTTGAAGTGATTCTCCTGCCTCAGCCTCCCGAATAGCTGGGATTACAGGCACTCACCACCACACATGGCTAATTTTTGTATTTTTAGTAGACGTGGGGTTTCACCAAGTTGGCCAGGCTGGTCGTGAACTCCTGACCTTGTGATCTGCCCACCTCAGCCTCCCAAAGTGCTCGGATTACAGGCATGAGCCACTGTGCCGTTTCTTTTTCTTTTCTTTTCTTTCTTTGTTTTGAGATGGAGTCTTGCTCTGTTGCCAAGCTGGAGTGCAGTGGCACAATCTCGGTTCACTGCAACCTCCGCCTCCCAGGCTCAAGCAGTTTTCCTGCCTCAGCCTCCCAAGTATCTGGGACTACCACAGATACTGCACCACCACACCGAGCTAATTTTTGTAGTTTTAGTAGAGACAGGGTTTCACCATGTTGGCCAGGATGGTCTTGATCTTTTGACCTTGTGATCCCCCTGCCTTGGCCTCCCAAAGTGCTGGGATTACAGATGTAAGCCACTGCACCCAGCTTATTTTGTTTTTTTTTTGTTTTGTTTTTTTGGTTTTTTTTTTTTGAGATAGAGTCTTGCCCAGGCTGGAGTGCAGTGGCATGATCTTAGCTCACTGCTACCTCTGTGTCCTGTGTTCAAGCAATTCTCCTGCCTCAGCCTCCCAGTAAGCTGGAATTACAGGTGCACACCACCACCCTAGCTAATTTTTTTATTTTTAGTAGAGACGGGGTTTTGCCATGTTGGCCAGGCTGGTCTCAAACTCCTGACCTCAGGTGATCCGCCCACCTCGGCCTCCCAAAGTGTTGGGATTACAGGTATGAGCCACCATGGCTGGCCTATTTTCTTCTAGTAGTTTCATAGGTTCAGATCTTATATTTAAGTTTTCAGTGTATTTTGAGTTGATTTTTGTGTCTGGTGAGAGATAGGGCTCTAGTTTCACTCATCTGCAGGTGGATATTCACTTTCCCAGTGCCATTTATTGAAGAGAATGTCCTTTCCCCGGTGTATGTTCTTAGCACCTATGTTCGAGATGAGTTGGCTGTAAGTGCATGGATTTATTTCTGGGTTTTCTGCTCTGTTCCATTAGTCTATGTGTCTGTTTTTATACCAGTATCATTGCTGTTTTGGTTATTATGGCTTTGTATTATATTTTGAATTCACGTGCTATGATGTCTATAGCTTTGTTCTTTTTGCTCATGATTGCTTTGGGTATTTGGGGCCTTCAGTGGTTTCGTATGAATTTTAGGATTTTTTTCTATTCTGTGACAAATATTGTTATTTTGATAGGGATTGCATTGAATCTTATATTGCTTTGGGTAGCATGGCCATTTTAACAATATTCTTCTAATCCATGAATATGAAATTATGACTTTCCAGTTCCTTCCCCTTTCAAAAGTCTTAATTTGTTATTTATTTATTTAGAGACAGGATATCATTCTGTCGCCCAGGCTGGAGTGCAGTGGCATGTTCTCAGCTCACTGCAACCTCTGCCTCCCGGGTTCAAGTGATTCTCCTGCCTCAGCCTCCTGAGTAGCTGGAATTACAGGCACCCGCCACCACGCCCGGCTAATTTTTGTATTTTTAGTAGAGACAG